ATAGGTTACTTCTGAATTAAATAGCTTTCACATATTGTGCACTACTTGTAGCTTATAATTTCATACGCAAAATGTAACTTTACTCACCACAATAAATAGCTTTTACTCGAAAAAACAGGTTTGGACAAAATTTTATTCTTGTTGGTGGATGGTGCTCCCGACCATAGTTAAAATATTATAACTGAGTTTTTTCATGTTGTGGATTTAAAGAATAATTCATATTACGAACACAATTAATAACGTGAAATAAGAAAAATATAAGCAAAAGCAAGCATAACACTTTTGAATAATTCCATAGATACGTAAAATTATTGTTAGAAATATACAGGTGCTGCTGCGTTGGTAGCATCTCTATGATGCATTTTCTGTGTTTATTGTGTCAAAAATAAATGAAAAACTACAAAAGTATCTTTCTGTAAGAATTCTGTCAAAATTTTATGTACTTGTAGCAAAACCAAACACGTTTTGAGGTGCTACTTACTATGCATCTAGATTATATTATTTATGACTCACATCTCTAATGTTTTCTCTCTATTATGACACGTAGAACAATGACTCGCCCTAATACCCTTTGTGCATGAGAAAAATATTAGGACAACTTAATACGTGTGAATATTTTTTAAAGTACTTTTGTATACAACAGTTATAAATCTTAGATTGAACTGCGACTCAGAAAAAAAATAAGTATATGGTATAATAGGCTCCCACACATCAATATTCCAAACTAAGATGTTGAATCTTGAAACAATTTTCTAATCAACCTTAGCTTAGAGTTGTTAGAAACAATCAACTTATAAAATTTCCAATGCATCATTTCACAATACACAAATTGTTCATACCATTATGTATATAAGATAATCAATGAGAAAAAGTAAATCCATTTAAAGGTAGAAAAAAGGTACTTGGATTAAAGCAATCTTTTAGCTATAATCCACGAGGTGTGCTTAAAAAGTAAACAACTTTGTGTCAAAAGGGCTGTCCACTTTCTGCACTTACATTATAATTTAACGAGTCACCATGCATGGAATATCTTTCTTCCTGCTTTTGAGGAAAATTAATTAGATTCCAAATGCCTTCACATGTCAACAAATTAATTATTCATCTATTTTTATTCTTCCTTAGATAGTTCCTAGCAAGTTCTCAAATTTTATTGTCACTCAATTGGCCAACTTTCATATCAATTGGTTAGGAAAAGTTGGAACCTAGGCCCTGTTTGAAATCAAAAAATTTCCATGGAAATTTCATTTTCAAACTTTTGCGTTGTTTGATACCAGAAATTTTTCATGGAATTGATTTTCCCAAAATGACTCCCACGTGCACATTTTCTAGGAAATCATTGAATTGATTTTCCCACCATTTTGGTGGGAAATTGGAATTCCAGTTTTTTTTTTTTTTGGCATTCGGAACAAATTTTATAACCAATTATATAAAAAAAAAAACTCACTTTAATGGATAATTTTCATGTAAAACAAAGTCAAACGAACACTAAACTTTGATGAAAAAATGATTTTCTCGAAATTTTTTTCTTAGCAATGGAAAGAAATTTTATAACAAACTGTAAAAAAAATTATTACTTTAATGGACAATTTTCATATAAAACAAAGTCAAACGAACACAAAAAGATCCAAAAAATTTAAATTTTTTCGGATGAAAAATTATATCAATCAAACACACTTCATTAACAATTCCCTGAAAAAAGGTTTTAAGCAATTATTTTATCTGGAATTCATTTTCTTTCCAACAATTTTTCATAATTGCAATCAAATGGACCCTTAGTTTCTTATGCATCCAAATCCTAGTTATTAACCAAGTGACTTGATCTAGAATTCGACTACCCTCTTTCTAGTGCATCTATATTATAATCGAAAAGAATGTTATAATAAAAATGGTTGGCCAAAGCTATGCAAAAATGGGTTTATTTTGCTAAGGATAAAATCTCACATTGATTAAATATTAATATTTTTGTTAATTTTCTTAAAAACATTGATTTTTAAGGTGGAATCTCAAGTCTCGGCCCGATATCCTAGTCAACAATCATAAACAAATAATTTGATCTGTTTGAAGCTCAAATGAGTATCTAGGAACATTATTAAGGTCAACATGCAATGTAATTGAAATATAAACACATCAACTAATGTAAGAATTTGAGTTACTTCCCTTAATAAATAAGATATTTTAAGACTGAACCCGAAAACCCAATATACCCAACATTGGTTGCTCGAGTTACACAACATAAAGTGTTTAAGATTCAAAAATTTATGAGTAAAAAAAAAAAAACTTAGTCTACATAT